CGACGGCCTCTGTGTGGGACGCGTAGCGGGCGGTGCCCCTCGCCGCGCGCGCCACTCGGGTTGCTCGCTCACCTCCAAGGAGGTTCCGCTGGGCCGACGCGTCAGGAAGAAGAAGCGTCGTCCTCGTCGTCCTCGTCGAATCGCCGCTCGTGGAGCTCTCGAGTCCGCGTGCCGGACCCGTGCAATGGCGCGTCGAGCGAGCCTCGTGCCCGACGGCATCGATGGGAGTCGATGCTCGGGGAGGCGATGGGTCATGGTGGTGGCGGCGGTGGTGGCGGTGGCGGTGGTGGAGGGGCCGTGTTGGAACGAACATCACCTCGACAATACTCACAATCTGACACCCAATGACATATTTTGGGTGCCATCGTGGCGAGATGTTAACTCCCTCGCCTGGTATGCAGCTGGTCGTGGGGTCGATCCCGACCCTGACGCCTGCTTGTTTGGAGTTTGCGTGTCTTTCTCCCCGTGGTGGTCGCGTGGATTTTTCCTCTGGTTCCTCCGGGTTTTCCCTCCACATTTAGAAACACGCGTTTTGAGTATTTGAATCTGATGGCGGAACCCCGAGGCACCATAGTACCCCGGCTCTCGCATAATGTCCTTGATGCAGTCATGTTCAGTCTGTTGATGGTCGGCGATGCGGCAATCGACTCATCTCGACGAGCTGCACGCGATGCACCACGGCAGTGCGTGCGAGCGTTCACGGTTTCGGCGCAATCGTCCTCGACGCGTTTCGACATCGCAGAGTAGCATTGATGTCGGATTGATTGGTACCCCAGTCGCGGAGTGAAGTACACCCCTGGAAACAAATAGTGTCCCAGAAATAAAATACTTAATTGCCTCGGCTATTTTGTATTATTTGCTACCCCGCGGTACCGCCATAAGGATCGTTTGGCTATCATTCGTGGCCAGATTGCTTATGAAAAAGAGCTATAAAGTTCAGCGAGCCTTACCTGGTAAAAAATATGTTTAGTTTTTGAACCAAACGAAGTCTTCATTTAGTTTTAATGAATGTATAAATGAACGTCAATCACCAAGCTCCAATATTTACAACTTAATGTAGTTTCTGAAACCTGGCATATTTTCTAACCGTGATTTATACAGTCCCTTCCTAGGCGATTGAGGGTTGTGGTTTGATTCAGGTATCAAATATATCCATAGAATTGTCATGTAGGTGTAACATCAACCCCGCGTGAGTTTGCAGGTATTGTCAAACCATTAATAGATGAAGCCCTCCCCATGCCAATTATTTCACCTGCGTTGTTTGACCATACTTCACCACACTGGTCAGTGAGGGCTGGAGGAGGTGCGGGGACCCAGCACCTGTTCAGCGATCACTCGCCAACGATGTTAGCCGTGGCTGGGATTAAACTCAGGTGGCCGGGGTCGTAGTTGCAGTATGCTAATCACTGCGGCATCACTCCACCCACATACAGCAAACATCAATGTATACACATTGATACCTACACGCATGATTTGATGCATGTGTCTCGAGCTTAAGAATCGACATTAACCGATGAAGCAATGCGGTGTTACATCCTTTTTCAGTTGTTACGTCCTTATCACCACCACCATCACCATAATCTAATGACATATGTGACTGGTAGAGGAGCCGCTGCCATTGCTGCTGACCAGAGTCTGCCAGCGAGGAGGGAGATGATCTTAGTCTCTGATCTCTCTATACGAACTATACGATTCCTCCAGCTGTCCGTGTGCACACACACTGCACACACACACACTGCACACACACACATTGCACACACACACAGACACTGCACACACACACACTTGCACACTGCCACAAAAAAACCCCAAAAAACATAAAAGAAAATGTTAAAAGGCCGGCTGGCGCGCTTGACTGAGCGAGTCTGTGGCTTTATGTCCCCGAGTGGCAATATGGAACCGCCTCGTGTCCTGCCCATTGAATTTCAATGGGCGCTGTTTATCGCTCGGCTCCGAGCCACTGCCGCTGCGGGCAACAATGGGAAACGGGGGGCGGGGGCTGGAGTAGACGCGGGGAATGGGGTGAGTGGGGGGCTGAGCAGGGGCGGGGAAGCTGGGAGGACGGGAGATGTTTAAGGGTACATGGACGGCTGCTTAAATAAAAAAAAGCCTCGTCTGCCTGTCCTGCCGGCCGGCCGGCCGGCCGGGTTGCGCACTGGCTGCGTGGCCGTGTCGTCGCACCCCCACCGCGTGTACACTGCAGCGAGTGCGTCGATAAATGTCAGGGTCGCGACAGAGAGCGGGACAGTTGTGCGCGCGCGAGATTGGATTTGTTGCGCTTGGGGCCACCGCATTCACGGCGCACGGGTCGGTCCGCCGACTGCGTGGAAAGTGTGCGGAGTGACACAACATAACCTCGCATCGCTGGACGCGAGACAGAGTGGCGGCACGCGGGCTGCCTGCCTGCCTGCCTGCCCACGCGTGCCCGCGGCAGCTGAGAGCGAGTTCCAGTGGAGTTTTATTTTTAGTGTCGCCCATTGCTTCTCCCGTCGGCACGCCGGCGACGCATTGTGCGCAGGAAGGGTCGAGTGGGAATGTGAACATCACGGGTGCCTGCACTCGGCATTGGGTAGTGCGCGTGCGGCCGTGAACTCGACGATCCCCCACTGAGGCTCACGGACTCGTGCTGTTCGTGAGCACGAACGGGTTGGCGTCGCGGTACCACGCCGCTATTGTCTCCCTGGTGCTGATTCTTACTTGCCAGCGCCAGGTACTCGTTTAAGGCCGAGTCAACCTAAGCGAGGCCCAGGACCGGTTCTGATATTCGTCTCTGTTATTGGCCACGAATCGAACTCAGGCCGCCCGGCTTCGTAGCGCAGTGACGCGCTAACCGTTGCGCCACCGGTCCCCCACGCGCGCACGTGCGCACGTGGCACGCGCGTGCCACATTCGCGGCTCCGTGGCTCACGCCGAGCCACCTTCGTGCCGCCCCTGCCGCTCTCTCGCGAAGCCTTTCTCGTGGTGATGGGCGCGGGAGGCAGCGGCGCGGCGCTGCGCCAGCGGCAGATGCGGGCGGGCGGGCACCTCCGGGACGCGCGCGCGCGTGCAGGGGGGCGCGCGCGCGCGTGCAGGGGGGCGCGCGCGCGCGCGTGCGCGTGCTGCCGAATCAATTTCAGCGCCGCTGAATAGAAACCAAAAAAAAAACACCGCGCGGCACCGCGCAACGCGGTTGGCTGTGCGCGGGACGCTAATGGCATTTCCAACAAATTAACTGCCTCACAGTTGCTGTACCATTAATTTTCAAAGAGTGCGATATTCAAAATTTACTTTATTACGGTGCGTACATTTCTGGCGTGTAACTTGCACGATTTAATTCCGCCTAATAGATTGCTTTTCGTGCATGCTTTGCCGTTGTGTTTATTAAAAGGGGGCTCTTCCGCATTCTTGTGCTTCTGAACCATTCGCCTCGACACGTCGGGCGCGTACATGAGGTTACCACAAACGTTGGGTACTGCGTTCGTGGGTTTTACATCGGTTGCGTTTTTTGCAAACAGGTTGAATATTCGGACAAATCAAACGCAGTAATAGTCCTGCAAATCCCCAGCAATCACTGGCAGTAAAACGAGGGTGATTCAGACGTTCAGCAATCGCCATCAAAGCGATACTCACAAAATTCAGATTTTTCAAATCCTTGGATGCGGATTATTCACAGCAGCACTGCTGACTCCACGTGGCGGGGAGCGATTTTCACGCGGGTCGTGATGGTGGTGGTGGAGGGGGGGGGCAGGGAAAGTTTCCTGGCCTCCAGGAATAAACACGAGGGCGTCTTTGAACGCGCTTCCGAATTTCTTGGTAAAGGGTCTCGGCGCTCTGATCCGCATCAAACGGGCTCGGTGCACGCGCTGACGACGTCTCTTCTAGGAACCGCGACTCGCGCCTCCAGGCCCGAGGTTCATTGGTCTGAGCCCGCGGGTGCCACGATTAATGTGTGTGGGGATTATGATCAATAGGTGTGCATTCGATTGTGCGAGGAGCGGAGAGATCTGACACATTTTAAGCCACGATAAGATACAATATTGTCTCACGGCCAAATCAGCCGTCCACAGTTATCTTTGCTTGTAACGTCTACAAAGGCAAATACCCCCCCCCCCCCCCCGATGTAACCTTTAACAGGCTGCTGGGGAAAGTGCGGTTAGCGAGCACCTATGAAGACCGCCACGGCACACGAGGAGGCGATGTGGTCAGCACCACGCCTGGCAGCCTTTGTCTCCCTGATTTTTACACATTGCACCAGGTGCTCGTTTTCGGTCGAGTTGACCTAGAGGAGGCCCCACTACTGTTTTTTGAGAATCGTCAAAGATGTTGGCCGGAGGCAGGTATCAAACTCGGCTGGGCCGCTTAGTAACGCAGTGTGCTAACCGCTACACCACCGCTCCACCCAAGGTACATACATACTTACACGTGTATCCACTCTGTTGAAAGTACCATCATTTAACATTAAAACAAATATTATTTATGAATCTATTGAAACTTCTGCTTCACAATTTCCACGTTAATCACACAATTTAGCAGATGGGCACAAATACACATGTCACAATGAAGTATTTAAATATGTATAGTAATTGATTCATAATTGATATGCCACTCTGCCGGAGCACAAATCAATCAGCCACTCTATCAACACACAAACACTTCGTGAAAAAAAACATTTAATAGCCTGAATCAACTGCGACAATTTTATGTATATAACTGGTAATCCTCTGCATTAAGGCAGCATCATTGCTTTCACCATGTGGTGCGATGTACAAGTATGTCCACTGCTGGATGCTGGAATTCCCCACGCGATAAAGGTCATAGAGTTAATTTAACCATACTTCACCGCGCCGGTCATTGCGGATTCGTGAAGGAGGGGAGCATAGACATGTGGACATGGAAGTGCAGCAATTCACGTCCTGCGCCCTCACCCGTCACAGCGCTATCCAGGCTCAAAACCTGCTGAGCCTGCGAGCTCTGATGAGACGGGTGCATTGCACGTGACCCGGCCACGTGGTGCGACACGTGGCTCGGCCACGTGGTGCGACACGGCGCCATGTTCAGCATCCTCGGCACTGTCAAAGGTGAAGCCCCGCAAGTAGTTGCCACTTCAGGCGGAAGAGGCTCCACGAAGCGTGAGCTCAAGGGCCCCTTCTCGAGGGCATTTGGCCTACTCTTCCACACTGGCCAGGCGTCTTGTGCAAGATGACTGTGGAGGGTGTCTCGTGACGCGCGCGTTGTCTCCGCGTGATGCACTGGAGCGCCATAGGAGGTACGACTGTAAGTACATTTACCAACACACACACATCACGGGCAGCTTGTCAACGGGGGCGCAATGTCCATGCATCGCGACCTCCGTTTCAGAGGCGAGTCTTGGGGTTTTCCACACAACCGGTTCACTGTCCGTGAAGAATCGCGACGCCGCGGGTCGTGATCTGCAGGTTGATGAACCCACGGGCGGCGAAGCAGCGGCCGCGCGCGTCTCTCGTCCTCCTCGCCTCCTCGTCCGTGCGAGCCTCCCTCTCTCGCTTGCCCGCCTCTCTCGCGAGCCCGCGGCCCCTGACGGTGTACATGGAGCAGGAGAGTTGTGTGTGTGTGTGATGGCGCTCACTCGGGGGCCCTCGGGTCGTCTCCACGTGGGCGAGCGCGGCCTCGCGCCCACAGTGGCAGTATTGGCACGTGGCCTGGAATGATTCACACCCCCCCCTTTACCCGACGAATTGTCTCCATTGCGTGTCGTGATTTATATTTTGTGATTTTCGTTATTTGGTCTAAGACTCTAAGTATAACCATGCAAAAGCCATGGCGTTGATGCTCTTCCTGTTTCACCAGAGGCCTGGGCCAGTGGTGAAACTCCACATTATTGTGGTGGCCGGGGCACGTTTCTCTATTTCACAACCCCTGTTGACTTTCCCGCAAAGTGGTAGTCGTTTTACATACCGCGGAGGGATGATGATGATGATGGGCCGAGTGAACCAGCAGCCACCATGTGGTCTCGCGACCTTCACGATCGCGAGCCGCCCGCTCCACCTGATCACAATGTAACGAAGCGCCCATTAGCTTTGCACATAGCACGTGCGTCTGCCTGTCGGTCATACTGCACACCACTTTACCACCCATCGTATGTATATGTATGTTGGACTTCTTTCGCACCGTACGTAGCCAAGGAAGGACACCAATCCCATATCCGTGACGGGCCAATCGCGGAGGCAGCGCTCTCTGTGGGCCAATCGGACGCGCCCAATTAGAAGCCATCTGCTGCTGCACGACAGTATGCACAAGAATACATTGTAAACATAAATGTGTAACATATTGTCTGATGATTTTTACATCAAAACAATTCAAATCGCCATCAAGACTCGATTAGTTATGGCCAGCTGGTATGGTCAGCTGTGGTGTTTAAATAAAGGATGGGGGGGGGGGTGTAATTATTGTGGAATTTTAAATGCGCAGAACTGTACAGTATCGTATGCCCATTTAGGAAAAAGAAAATCCATGATGCGTCTCAGATGCTGTGCACCGTTTTTTCCATACATCTCGATACACGTAAATAAAGTTCAGAGTGGTAAAGCGGTGTTAGTGGTTTGCACGCTGGTCCATGAGCTGGTGAGCGTGTGTTTATAATCATGGCCAAGAAACATCTAAACCGGTTCTAAGACCCATGCATGATGAAGTATGGTCAAACGACCACCATGATTGATGTCGCGTGGGAAGTCCTTGATAAGTACAGGGAGGAGACATCCCACGGACGAAATTGTGCATAACTAAGTGCGAGTTCACAAAAATATAAAAATAAATATTTAAAAAAATAAACCAGAATCGTCAACGGCGCCGCATTGCCTGGACGCGCCGCTCCACGCTCCGAGCATTGCTCTTCGCCACGGATCTCGTGTCCCAGCCGTGCCATGATATTGGGAACTTCGCAAAGTGCCCGCTGCACTGTCACTCGAGAGCCACTTGCCCATCCTCGGAATGCTGCACATAGAGAATTCATGCCAGTCGAGTGGTTCCCAAAGAAACAACAAATTTGACGACAAAATGTTCAGGATACAAAAACGTTGGGGTAGTAGTGGGGTGGGGAGCGGTCATTAACCATCGTGCCAGGGTGATCTTTTGTTGTTTTACGACTGAACCCAGGGAGTCGCGCGCCGTTGATCCGTCAGCGGCGAGTTTCCCCGCTAACCTCTGGTGTGCATCGATGTTTGTCACCGTCATGAATTGGGCGCCATCGAGCCCCTTCAAGGAAGGTGCCTCGTCCCAGCCCCATCGGTCACAATATTTAGCGGCAAAGTCATGGCGCAATGACTAGTCTCTGAACCGCGCGGCCGTTTGTCACGCTAACAAATGAGCGTCGCCGTTTGGTGGCGCGCACTGTTTATTTTGTGATATCGTCATTACGAAAACCACCAGCCGCAAGATAAGTGACCCAACCTCTAAGGTGACCTTTGTGTGCATCTGGCCGAATAATGAAAGTTGCTTTGCTTGTATAGGTGGAATCTATATAGATGTATAATGTGCGTGTCGCGTGTACGTCGCTTGTGTCAGTCCGCTGCTGGATGAGGGCCTCTCCATGCCGTGTGGGTCGTAGGGGGTTATTTGACCGTACTTCGCCGTGCTGGTCAGTTGTGGGTTGGTGCGCGGAGGGGGCCGAGGACCGATTCAAACGTCACTCCCCAATGCCGCTGCTGCACAGGTTTTGGCGGTGTTGCTCTGTAACTCCTCTGCTGTATTATTGTTTTGTTGTACCACGTGCCGGGAGCTTCTTCCATTCAGTCTCTGAAGAAGCTCCTGGCTCGTGGAGGGAACCGTTGGACAACGTGCCGGACGCCACGTGGTTACAGCCAGAAAACGCTACGGGCGAGTGCTTTACCCACCAACGATGTTAGCCATGTCTGAGAATCAAACTCAGGTCACCAGCTTCAGAGGGGTATACGCTCATCACTGCACCACTACTCTATCAAGCTATTTCCAAAGGGCAGGCTGTTGCAAGCAGCTGGTTCGTTCACTCGGTGCAGTTGGTGGGTAGACCAGTGGCTCTGGGAACCCGTGGCTCAAGAGCCTGCCCAGAAAGCAGCAATAACTCACCAATCCCCTAAGCGTCACACCACTCGCCACATCCTGATATGCGAGAGTGAGTGTTTACTCACCGACAAGTTATCCTTCATCGCGTGTAGCATTTCCCGTCTCGCCACAAAGTCGGAAAAGATGCCATTTTGCACAATCTGCTGGACCCCTAATGTGCCTCTCGGCCGCGTCAAGCCACGCTCCTTCGTACGACATCCATTACCCGCGGGGTGTGGGGATATTTTACGTTTACCGAGCGATGCGGATATATGATGGAATAATGTTGCAAGTTATCGCACATCTTTTACCCTATCGTCGTCATCATCATCGTCGGGTACGATCAATCCGCTGCTGGATGCAGGCCTCCCCAAGCCGCCGTCATCACTCACGGATCCGCGATGCAGCAAACCGTTCAGCACCCGCACATGAGCTTATTCCGTCGGTCCAATATCCCCGCAGCAGATGTCTTCTCGAGTGTGTTCCCTTCTTTGGCTGCCACTCCGACAGTAGTCTTAGACCGGACAGCCATCGTCTGTTGCGGTGTCGAGGTGACCTGCCCCAGCCCCCTGTGGCTGTCCTTTAGCCCATCAGAAGGGTGGCTTCCAGATTTGTTAAGGAGCATCTGCTGAGCTCCTGGCCTCCAGCAGCCCCTCTGAAATTCCAGGTGGTGGAAATTCCACATTCCTGTGGTGGGTGGGCGAGTCTACCCATAAGCCAACTACTGGTGACAGGATGTGAACTCGCAACCTTCCGATTGCGAGCCGCTCGCCCTGCCGCTGAGCCACCTGGCTGGCCGGTAAACATGAACAATTCCTATAAATGTTTGCTTATAATTTGGATAAGTTACAAGTAATTATTCTTAAGCGCAAGGTTTGGTGCTTGTGTACCACAAGTCTTAAGAATCAATTTTAACCTGTTCATTGTTACATGCGTACTACTACACCACTTGCATCCGTACTAATCACTTGCGGCCATAAAACAATAAAATCAATGGAACGGCAGTTAAATAATTTCCCAGTGAAGATGTTTATAATTGCAGAATGCACACCGATATTTATTGATTAACTTTATCCAGATGAACACAAATCGGATGTATTAATGTTTCTGTTCATGAAAGTAAAACGGCCTTGGGGCAGGACACAGCGGGGACGACGGCTCATGGACAAAGACCGGTGGTGGAATGGCACCCAGAGAGCAGGACAGCTGCGGAGGTGTAGCGATGAGTTCAGCTCGTGGACACGATGTACATCGGTTGTGCAGGATCAACTCGGAGTATGGATTGCAGGACCGTGAGGGATGACGATGGTATCGGGAGGCCTTCACCCTGCAGTGGATTGACCATGGCTGATGATGTCGATGTTTTAAAAGAAGGTGACGTTGAATACAGACACGCATGCACACTCGTTACAGAATTGTGCTTTCCTGCACATGGGGATACCAACCAAACTTGCTACTCATTCCATGAATTATCCTGAAAAAGTGGGACATTAAAATAAATAACCTGCCTGGGCAGTTTATTGGTACACCTGGTTTTGATAAATGATCTTTATTTTATAGATTTATATTAAGACATTCCACCTGAATGACCCCTCGAGACGGAACATCTCGATTGCAACGGCGTCCAGGAGCACCAACGTAGGCGCGTGCGCCTAGACCCGACACGCAGTGACACGTCTTGACCACGTGGCGTTCGCTTTGGGGGGGGGGGCCTTCACCAGGAGTATGACCTCACTCGCGACTCTGCGCGTGTGCACGCCGGCGGGCCCGGCCACGCCGAGGCAGTCGGCGCGCGGTGCCGCTGCCGCGTCGTGAGTAACGGTCACCGTGTTCGTCGCTCTTGTTAATTTGTCTCCGGGATCTCCCATCTGCACCTCGGCTCGTTAACATTCATCACCCAACTCCGTTGTAGTCTTGGCCGCGGTATGCTTGCCCACTCTCGAGTGGAACGCCCCTTGGGATTGTATATTTTAATGGCGGCAACGTCGATATGGGTGGATCGGTGGTGCAACAGTGGTTCGGGCCCTGCGCTATGGACCCTGCAATGCCAGTTCAAGTCCTGGTCACAGCTAACATCGGCGGCAAGTGATATCATAACCGGTTCCGCCCTCTCTCTCCCCCCACCCCCTAAACCGATCCACAATAACCGGCGTGGTAAATTATAATCAAAACACCGTGACTGACATGGTGTGAGAACGCTTTCATCCGTTG